TACTGAAATAACGAGTGGTGAATGGTTTTGTACAGGCTCTGGGGAGGATGCGCTGTTATCCAGAATGGATCATCTCCACTTCCTCACCAGCACTTCTCATCTTCCCTCCCAGGAATTCAAAACTCATCATAGTCTTAAAGGTGGGACCAGAGATCACATTTCTGGTCCCAGGCTGAATGTTTTTGCTCACCTCCTCGTGGTTCTTCTTGAGGTAGGCCAGCTCCTCCTTCAGGCTCTCGATCTGCATCTCCAGGTCGGCTCTGGCCAGGGTCAGCTCGTCCAGGACCCTGCGCAGGCCGTTGATGTCGGCCTCCACGCTCAGGCGCAGAGCCTGCTCCGTCTCGAACCTGGAAGGACAAAGAACAGTCACGACAGTTGCGACAGTCGCGCAGGCTCTTGTCTACCCAGGAACAGAGCCCCTCAGTCTGCCACTGGCATCGTGCCGACACTGCAGGACCCCCATGGTGCATGGACACGATCCTGACGGTGAATGGTGGTGAATGCAGGGGAACAACTCATCAAACAGTGTCCATCTGACTCCCTCCCACCACCTTGCTCCTGGCATCACTGGGCCGTTACTGGGTCTGGGCTTTGCTGAGCTGTGCACACTCGGGTCAAGTGCACAGCGGAGGCACAGTGCGAGTTCTCTGCACAGGAGAGGTCGTACCGCAGAGGAACGAGGAACGGGAATAAAACAGTGATGTTTTGGGTGGAAGCAAAACAATCCCTAAATGCCTACAGATTTAGACAACCAGCTGCTTTGGAAATGACACCTCCATTTTGAAGGCTTTGTTTTCACATTGCCCTTTTGGGGTTTGGATGGGATTTTCTCATTTCATCAAACATCTCCGCAGACTTCCTTCCATTTTTCCAGGAAACGTGGCTTACTTGGTCCTGAAGTCATCAGCTGTCAGCCTGGCGTTGTCAATCTGCAGAAGGAGGTTGGCATTGTCGACGGTGGCCACCAGGACCTGGAGGATGGAGGATAAAGAAAAAGAGTGTCAGGAACTCCTGCTGGCTGACCAAGGGATGGGAGCACAAGTCAGACCATCAGGACAAGAATAGTTTTAGGGAAGCTGGGAGTTTCCTTGCAGAAGTGTGTATTGAATCAGGACAAGTGAGGCACAGCTGAGACTGACTGCAGGCAGGGGCCGATTACTCTGTGACCTCCCTTTCCAAAAATCTGTCAGTAAGTATTTCAAAAGGCAGCACCAAGCCACGTAAGGTGTGTGAGATCTGATGATGGCATTTGTTCCCATGCTGCGGGGGAGGTGCCCATGGTGCCAGGGTCAAGGAGGAATCACCTGCTCTCCCATCCACAGCACCCTGCGGTTCTTCTGGCAGACGGACCATCGGGCTGCTTGTGCTTGGCAAACCTTCTGCCCAGTTCTTCAGGGGTGGATTTAATTTTTTGACTGCAGAGATGGAGCACAATGCAGTGAGCAGATGCCTACAGCTTCTGGTTTTGGTATTGCGAAACCAGGAGCAAATAATCCACACTGGGAGAAGATTCAAGTCGGTTTGGGAGGACGTCACAAACGGATTCCCTGCATCGCTTGCCAGCGCTCCCGCAGCTCCGGCTGGATACAGCCTTCCTGCGTGTTTGCTGGAGGCAATTCATACGTAAGAAGTAACAGAGAAGAACAAAGTCAATTCCTGAGTATTTCCTCCAAAATGAGGTGGTGGGAATGAAATGAGAACTGAGAGAAATCCCCCCAGCGCTGCCTGGGTTGGTGGGTTTGCAGCAAACCTGGCCCTGGGGCAGTGACTGCCAAAAGGAGGTGAAAAACTCGTTATAGATCAGTTCCATCTTTTTCTCTTTAGCATCTAAATCACATCAATACCGAGGAGCTGAAAGAAGTTTGTAAATTCTTTGGCTGAATGTTTACAAATATCACATCAATGTTTCAGTCTGAGCACACCTGCAGCTTTCCCTGCACCCTCGTTTTAAACTGTCAAAAAATACGCAGACTTGTCTCTTGTTCTTCATTGTTGCATTATGTCCTTTTACATCTGCTTCTTCCAGTGAAAACTGCCGTTTGCTCCATCTAGGAGGATGCAATCAAAACCTGGCATTGAGAAACCTCGGAATCTCGAGGCTGGCGCTTTGCACGTGCAGCTGAGACACTTCTTACGACATCGTTAGTGCTTACTAATTACAGAGGGAGCAGCCAGTGTTCCCGCTTCCTCTCTGATACCAAGACATCCCGCTGTGGTAAGCACAGCATCCTACCTTGTTCCTGAGCTCCTCGATAGTCCTGTAGTAGGGGCTGTAGTCGCGGTCTGGACCAGGTCCCTGCTTCTTGTACCATTCCCTGATCTTGACCTCCAGGTCGGTGTTGGCCTCCTCCAGGGCACGCACTTTGTCCAGGTAGGCAGCCAGGCGGTCGTTGAGGTTCTGCATCGTCTCCTTTTCGCCAGCCGGGAGGATGCCATCGCCACCTCCAAAGCCACCTCCGAAGCCACCTCCGAAGCCAGCCCCAAAGCCAGCCCCATAGCTGCCCCCAAAGCCGCTGCCCAGGCCCCCTCCTACGCTGCTGCAGTAGCTGCCCCCGTAGCCGCTTCCGAGCCCCGAGACAACGCGGGAAGAGACCGAGTAGCTGCCAGAGCCGCCGCGGACGCTGGGGGGCCTGTAGCCTCCTGCCCAGACACGCACGGAGGGAAGC